GCACTTCGTAGGGATTTATGATTTAGGGTTTTCAGTTTTCGGGTTGGGATTATTTCAGCTTTAGGGTTCGGGGTTTAGGGTGTCCACTCTGCAAGGTTTAGGGCGTAGGGATGTTTAGGGCATCAGAGGTTTGAGGTTTAGTGTTGTTTAGTGTTGGGTGATTCTAGGGGTTTAGGGTTTAGGGTTCAGGGGTTTAGTGTTTAGGGGTTTAGGGTTTAGGATACAAGGTTTAGGGTCGAAGATGAATGTGATAGCACTCTGAAGTTTTAGGGTTAAGGGCGGAGGACTGCGCGGGTTCAAGAGAGGCCATAAGGAGGTACCCTCGCGAATGTAAAGGTTTAGACTTTGCCTTCTTGGGCCACTGGTCCTGCAGTCGTCCTAGTCTCTTTCGGAGTCTCAGTGATCACATCAACAGGACTCTTATGCAGGTTTGAATTGCTTGAAGTACCTGCGAACATGCACATATACATGAGTTTGGCCGAGCAGACAGATATGACCGACGTCTGTTCTGAGGGTTTCAGCTCGAGTTTCACATGCAAAGCCACACTCGAAAGCTTGCAGCCTGTTGCAGGCTTAGGATTCAAGTCTCAGTGTGATCTGTATATCAGAAGGCTGAAAGAATATACCATAACATAGCTATGATGCTCCATGATATACTATCATACACGATATCATACGGTATAAGATTTTTGGGGGACATGGGTGCTTGCAGCAGCCAGTCAAAGAGTTGATCTGTGCCGAAAGTCAGTACCTACCTCACCCACGAAACCGAAGCTACTGTAAGGTTCAGGGTTTAGGGGTTTGGGGTTTATTAGGGTTTAGGGGTTTGGGGTTAGGGTTTAGGGTTTAGGGTTTGGGGTTAAGACCTGAACTGCAGGGCAGTAGATACTCACAAAATTATGAACCCTAGAGCCTCCCGAGCCGTGGGGCCTTCCGACCCTAACCCCTTCAGATCCTCAAGGCAATGCCCTACCTACCAAACCTTCAAAATCCCCCTAAAGTCCCTAAAGTCCCTAAACCTCTAAACTCCTAAACCCCCCAAACCCGGCTAAACCCTAAGCTCCCTAATCCCTGCAGAACCCTAAACCCTGAAGCTCAACAGGCATCGCCACCATGACTATGGCCCCGCTCGCCCGCGGCCGGCTCTTCGTCCTTGTCTTATGTGTATAGCTTAGGTGCGTAGGGCTTATAGGCTTGAGGGTATGGTCAGACAGGGGCTCGCCGGACCACACGGACGTGCAGACGCTCAACGGCATGCAGGAGTCATCCGCGGTCGACCACGACTTCATTGCATCCAGGAGCAGCGGCGCCGGCAGCCGCAAGTCTTCACAATCGACACGGACTCGGAGAGCGAGCCCCGGCCCCAGCCGCAGCAGCAGATCCGGGCGCCCTTCGGCATCAACCAGGTGCGGATCCCCATCTCCTCGGGCAGCGAGCGGGTCAGCCGCCAGTCCAGGGGCGACCGCGGACCCCTCTGGCGTCTCTTCATAGTAAAGTCTGCTTGACTGTGAAGGGGGAAATCTGTAATTACTGACTAATTCTTCCGACTCCTGTAGTGGCAGGGTGTTCATCGTCTTTTGTCTGGTCAAATGTCAGGGTGTTGTGGAGCCCTAGTGGCTATGCGGCCAGCCTCGAAAGCTTGAAGACCTCTAGCTCCCTGCGTGGATTTTAAAGCTGTTCGATGAGGGTTCGGAGAAGCCCTTTAAAAAACTCTAAACCATAAATCCTAAATCATAAGCCCTAGGCGGATCTGATCTCTTGAGTACAAACCGTGCAGCCGGAGAACTGGAGCACCTTCGGTGTTGGGGCTGCTGTCCGCACCTCGACTCCCAAAATCCCAACCCTATAAACCCTTAAAAACATCACACCGAACCCTTAAAAATTCAACCCTAAACCCCAAACCCTGGACCCATATGGTCTGCGCAGCCCCTAAGCCCTTACATCCCAACAAAACCCCGCCCCCAGCCCACCATCTCAGAACCTAAACACTAACATAGGGACCTTAATAAATAAAAACATACTATAGTAACTATAGGGCCTAAATAGTTACTAGTACTATTTTGGGGGCTCCTTATTACAACTACAGTATAATGTACCCAAAAACTCCATTGAGGCCCTATAGCCCTATAGTGATTAGCAGAGTAGGGTGTTGGGAAACTGCAGGCTGAAGGTTACTTGGAGGATCATGGGACTTAGTAAGTAAGGTTATAAGTCCCCTAATTGGGGTCATAAGTATAGTTACCCTAATTATAACCCTACTTACTAAGTCCCATGGTCCTTTAAGTATAGAAAGTCCCCGAAAGGTAGGCGCGGAGGCTTCACGTCGTAAGTGAACTCCGGGACGCCAGCTGCGGATACCTGCATCCCTACGGGAAACGGGGTTAGGCCCCAAACCGAAAGCCCTAAGGAGTTTAGGGTTACAGGGTTTAGGGGTTTAGGGTTTAGGGCTTATGGGGTTTAGGGTTAGGGCCTTTAGAGTGTAGGGTTTAGGCGATCAGGAGCTCCACTTTTCCGGTCGCTTTCGCTGAAACCTTGAAGCCCACATATCTGTATGCTGCTCGAGTTTCGCAACTCCTTGCACTTCCAAGGATGTTCGGCTACAGTGATTTGGCCAAGATGGCAGAGGACGGTGTATGTATCATCTATATCATATAATACCAGGTACTATCAATACTATTGTATTAGGGGGCAGGGCCAGGGGCTTTGATGATTCAGGGTTGGTTGGCGTTGGCTTCAGCTCGATTCTCCAAGCAAGTACGATATGTTGAGAATTCAGCGAGAAACCAGATCACGTAGTCGCCCCGAAGTATGCCAATTTGTGTTGTCCCATTTTCTGTCCTGACAAGCTAGTCATGAGAAGGCAACCCTGAACCCTTAAGCCGACTTCGAGCAACCCGCGGGGGAAGTAAAAGGGAGGGACCCCTGACATGGAGTCTAAACAGTCAGTAGTCTCCTTACTATCAGGACTGCTACCTAACATTCCCGTTCGAAAATTGATTCTACCATTCCAGGGGTCCGTATTATCAATCCAGTTGCAGAGGCCCCAGAGCCTTCCTCTAGTCATTCAGGCCCCCATATGATCGAACCCATGTAAAGAACCCTTATCCCGAAAGCAGAGCCCTATTCAACAACAAAGGCGCCCATGTTATGTGTGTTTGTTTCAAGAAGCCTGCAAACCCGCTCAGCCTTCTAATGAGCTGAAGACAGGTCTAAGCTTCGGGTGTAGGAATCGGGCTGGAGGGTTGCTTTGGTTCTTTTTGTCAGGCGGAGGGGGGGTACACGAGGGTACAAGAGGGTCTTAGAGTGGTTGTACAGGGAGTGCGTTGGAGTTTATACGGCTTAAACCCCAAACCGCAGCTTGTTCGAGATTGTAGCTTATGCCATTGAGGCCAGTATCGCAGGCTTTGCTCACTTTCACTGTGTAGACGATCCCACCCAAGGCCGTCCGATAAGTTCAAGACTGGCGCGGACGTTGAACCCAAAGCTGCGCACACACTGCCGGAAGTCAACCAGAATTACCGTCTAGCCCTATAAATCCTGAACCCTAATAGCCCTGGGTGCCTGCGCTGTAGATCCGAAATTCCACAGAAGCCCTAAACCCTAAACCCTAAGCCACAAGGTCTTTCAAGGAAGCCTCTTGAAAGCACTGAGACAAGTAGTTACAAATTCAATCGCTTGACACGCATCCTGTAAAGGTGTGTAGAAGCCTTTCTGAAGAATCGCGGTTTGAGGAATTTCTGAAGGTTTGAGGTATTTCTGAAGAATCGCGGTTTGAGGAATTTCTGAAGAATCGCGGTTTGAGGTATGTTCGAGTTTATCATTATGCTGGCATACTTTTGGTTGACAGTATTTCACCCTAAACCCTAATCCCTAAACCTTCAGACCCAACCCTCCAAACCCTATTCCCCAAACCGTAACCCTTACACCTACACCCCAAACTCCTAAGCCCCCAGACCCTAAAGCCCTAAACATGAAACCCCTAACTAAACCCTTAAACCCCTACATCCTCAACCCTCGACCCTAAACCCCGCAGCCCCCAAACCCTAAACCCAAGACATCTGCCTCGACCCTCAACCCCTAAACCCTAAACCCCTAAACCTTAAACCCCGTAACCCAAGACTCTCCGAGCTCCTAGCAGGAGCTGGGTCGAAGTGAAGCCGAGCTGGCAATCCGCTGGTCTCTTCAAAAAGGCCACCGGGTTTGGGGTTCAGGGTTTAGGGTGGTCCGGGCTTGGGTCTACAAGCTGAGATTTTAGGATTTAGAGCGCAGGGGGTGTTGTGGGTGACTCGGGGAGGGCTTGCTGGCCACAGCTTCTGGTCCGGAGTCCTTTTCCGGGCAACAGCCACAAAGGAGAGCTGTCAGGACTTCGCACCAGGAGGTAACATAAGATGGCAACCTGGTTACTTCGGAGGAAGCCTTGGGGTTCCGTGTTCGAACTCGGGTTTGGGGTTTAGGGTTGAGGGTTGAGGGTTGAGGGTTTAGGGTTTAGGGTTTAGGGTTACCGGGTTTAGGGTTTAGGGGGCGCGATATTCCCCAAAGCCTCTTTCTACTCATCAAGGCCCTTGCTTGCACGAGGGCAGACGGGAGGTCATGTTGTGGATGATGCTTGGTGTAGTGATAGACATGGCGCTTGTCATGGCAAACCCCAGAGCCGAGAGAGACCCTTCAGGTCCCACGACCGCGAGCCCTCCGTCTGTAATATAGGGGCCTAAAGGATTACCCATACTATTTTGGGGGCTCCTTATTCTAATCATATGATGGGATAATATACCCCAAAAACGGTATTCTACTTATTGAGGCCCCTGCGTTACCATGCATGCAGAAACCACCATCCGACGGAGAAATCTCGGCCAGCCCCGTGCAGATCGAGGATCACCTATGGAAGTTTTGACTTGAAAGCTTGGTCATCGCAGTGTCTCATGAAGCCTGCACATAGCCAGAACCGGGCAGCTTTGGGCTCAAAGAATCGCGTGTTTTTTGAACTCAAAAGGATCTCAGCCATGTGGAACTGGGTGAACCACGTTCCGGTGCTTGGACTCTCGGCATTACAGAGGGGTAGTACAATATCACCCCCCCCCTTCCCCCCCAAGCAACCTTTGACTGCCGACTGCAGATACACCGTTTTGCATTCCCATGTTGCAGGACTAGCGAAATTTCATGCAGTAAGTAGAATTGCCCGAGGTCATATCAAGGCGGGAATCCACCATGCCGCCGGCGACCACGACATGGGACATCAGGCTCTGGAGCAAGCGAACCATGCAACCAGCCACACGCCTGTGTTGGGCCATGTAAAAGTTGCCGTGCATCAAGCTGCCGGTGATTTTGACCAGGCCCATGAGACGCTTGAAAAAGCGAATCACAGCACAAGCTATACTCCAGTCCTCGGACATGTGAAGGCTGCCGTGCACGCAGCCGCTGGGCATCATGATCTGGCCAAGGAGACTTTCGACAAAGCCAATGCCACCTTCGCGCCCGTTATGACCATGGCTTTGGTGGCATTGTGTGTATCTCTACCAGATGCACTTGTGCTGGCGATAGTCGCTAGTGCAGCTGAAGGATTGCGTCCGGTGCGTTTGCCGGATCATGAAGCCGTCCCGGGAGAAACTGAGGGCCGCAGCCCCGAAGTCGTCCCGAGAAAACCGGTCAGCGACGATGAGTCGCCGCGGCTGTACCACTTGTTGGACGTGTTCCATGCACTTTTCAACTCTGGGTTGCTGTCGGAGCCGGAATTTCAGGACATTCGACACAGGATTTTGAACGAGGTTAACCCGGGCTCAGTGCATCAGGTGCGCTTGCTGAAGATTCAAGCACAAGGAGAGACTTGACTCAGACTAGAGTGAACTAAAAACTGTTGCTCCCTGGCCCCTTTGACAACTCCGTTCGAGGTAGTTATCGGCTCGCCCTACAACACTAAACGCTTCCAGATACACTCAGGTGCAGGATCTGCATGATCTCATGGAGAAGGGCACTGTCACCAACGAGGAGTACAGAGATCAGAAGTCTTCGCTCCTGAAACTTGTGTTGGTGAACATGACGGAGATGGACAACAAGACCACGGAAAACACACGCGAAGGCATGGTTCGAATCAAAGCTCTGTGATGCATCATCTTTACGTTCCGGCAATTGACATTCATGAGTATGGGGTGTTCCTTCCTTGACATCACTGAACATGCAAACATGCCGGTAAGGCGAGAAGCGCAAGAAGCCCATTCGGCGCGGCGGGATGTCTTCCAGGGCAGCGGCTGCAGAGACGTGCACCGTACTCACAGAAGACGGCTTTGATGACCGCTAGCGTGAGGCTTGGTCAGTGCAGGAGTCATTTCAAGATCACCATGTGCACTAATGTTAGTTCGATTGTCATGACCTTAATTAATCCTAATCTGATTTTGAAGCGCTTGTTTGTTGCTAACTGTTACCATCCCCTACAGATCCGGCATGGATTGCCATCCTGTGCCTGCTATAAAGGAACACTCCGTGACAGTAAAGTCACATAAGTAGCTCATTGAAATCTAAGCACATCGTAAGTACAACCAAATCACATGCACCGAATACGCACGACCAGCAGTTTCACGAAGGATATGTTTACATATGCTGAGTGACACCGCTAAGAAACCGTGCCTGTAGCCAATGAAACAAATCACGGCTCATATGATGAGTCATTGCGCCTATGACCACGTTCCTGCCGTGCCCAGGTTCTTGTTGAGCTCATCCTAAACCACTCAGAACAACTACCCGTCCTAAGTCCGGACTCTACACAACAGACACCTTCAAAGTACGGAGGATCGTTCGGTTCATGGGAAGACTGTGCGAGATCGAAATGCCGATGCTCGGTATTCTGGTTACGACAGCGGTTCTGATCTGTAGGAAAACACTTCCGTTTAATATACGAAGTATATTGCACTATCTCGTTCCAGCTGTACACGAGAAGGTTCAGCGAAAGCAAACTAGATGTTTCCTGCTACATGGTACAAGCCACAACCAAAGCAGAACAAGCATCCTGTGACGTCCTATGTAAGGGCTTTATGCCAAAAACGTTCCCTGACAGGTAGAAGGTGCAGAGTACTATCCCGCTTCTACATAATAAAGAAAACTCATGAAACACACACATGTCATCATGCGTTACAAAAGTGTGTATGCATACACATGTAGTTGTATACATCTTTGTAATCATATACATATATATATATATATACACTTCTTTTTTTTATTTTTATATATGCATACATGTACACATGCAAGTTGACATGCAGTTATATAAGTTATGTATATATATATATATGCATACATTCATAGGCCAACGAACAGACAAACACACGAATACACACATGTGTGTGTGTGTGTGTATATATATATGTATATACACACCATTTTGCCTAACCTGGCCTGAATAGCAAGGTACGATGTATCCCAGGAAACTACCATTTAGGTAACTGCAGTCCAGGAGACCTCAGGTATACATGTATACTTATCTGTCGATCTGTTTATCTATCAATCTATCTTCCTCTCTCTCTCTATCTATCGATCTATCTATCTATCTATCTATCTACCTATCTGTCTATCTATCTATCTATCTATCTATCTATCTATCTATCTAAGGTGTTCATGGAATATGTATGCATGTACGTACGCAAATATGTGTGTATATATATATATATGCATACATACATAGGTACATCTATATATATATATATAGATGTACATGTAGTTATGTACAAATATATCTGTATATCATAAGTATATATGTACAGCCCTTTTATATATAAAACATCTGGGATACATACATACATACATACATACATACATACATACATACATATATATATATATGTACTTACCGAGCTTCCTGTGACAAAGCACTTCCTGCCTCCTGAAACTGCCAAGTGACCTGATGCCTTTACAGTTTTCATTTCAGTGGCAAGGCCTCTGTAGAACCTATATAAATGCTAAGCTTTACGGCGTAAACTTCTTCTATTCTTCTACCTATCATTGTTGCGCTTGTTTTTGGCCCCCACCCCTAGTGAATCGCTGGGCACACCACCCTTGACCTTTGCCATGCTATCCTTGACCCCGCTAGATGGAGTGCCGAATGAAAGCACCGTATCTGCGGAAGAGTGCCGATGTGTGCACCTTGTCATTGGCTTGGCAGGGTAATTTTGCCCGTCGCTGTGTCCAGATGGAGTGCCGAACGCAAGCACCAGGTCTGCCCAGGAGTGCCTTGCAAGCGCACCTTGTCATTTCTGACAAGCATAGCAGGATGGTATCTAAATCCTTTGCCTACTGATTGTGAGATTGATCGAAGTAGTCCCCCATCATCCTCCGGAAACCTTACCTAGAATCTCAGCCACCCATGAGTGTTGCAGACTTGTGAGAACAGTCGGTTTTGGTAGTTACGGTGCCTTCTGCACGGAGGTGCAGAGCGATGAAACAGTCAAGACGCGTTATGACATAATGATGCATTCTGTTATGCACAGATTCAACGGTTGTGTATGGGGCGATTGTTCGCCTGAAGACATGCATATTTATGTGACAGGAGTTGTGGGCATAGGTGTACCATGCTACGGTTTCGGGTGGTTCACCATCTGGAATCCATGAACCGATCAACCTGATGCATGTGAACTTTGAGTCGTCGGAGTGTCAACTTTGACACCGCACACCTAAACTGGTTCTTGTTAAGGAATAGAGGCTAGTTACCATAGTCGGATGTATAAGTAAATACTACGGCTACGGTTTCCTTGCTATGGTAGCCCTAAACCCTCAACCCTCAACCCTCAACTCTAAACTTAAAGTCTTTACGAACCAGCGTCTTGCTCACCAGGGCAAAGAGGTCCAGCTTAACGTCGCTTGCTGGTGGCGCGAGAAAAAGGAAGAAATCATAGTTTGCGACATCCTACCGATGGTTCGTTGAGGGCGCAGTATAGTGCTTAGGGATAGCCATCAAACGCTTATGGTTCAGGGCTGAGGACCCAGGGTTTAGGGCTCTAGGGCCCTAGGGTTTAAGATGACAGATACTCAAGATGAGGAGCTTTCCAGGCAACGAAGCTCGACGGTTGGCCCAAAAGTACGCGATCTGGGTAGTTAGCAAAAGTATGTTCTTGCAATCCTTATGGAATTGAGCGCCGAATATCTGAAGACCTTTTGCAAATCAATACCAAGGCGCCAACATGACAGCCCTTCTCTGTGGGGTTTCGTCAGCCGTCGGACTTTATTACGATTTACGGCCGTGCTAGAATCGACTTGGTGAGTTCTTAGTGCGTGCCCTTTTCTTTTTTTAATGTGAAGCGTCCTCGATGGGCATCGTAATTTTCTCCGGCTTGGTGTTTGCACGACTGCATCGAGAAGCTTGTGTTTGGTTGTCAGGATCAAACGCCGTAACCGAGAAGGCCCCTGGCACATCATACACAAACACACATGCATACACACACATACGCACGTACGTACGTACGTACGTACGTACGTACATACATCTTTCTTTCGGACGCTGCAAAGAAGTTCTTCGCTTTGCGCGGCTATTATGACGGGTGGCCACCCCGGCTCTTGTGAGCACCGTGCATTGCACGGCTCCGGAAA